TTCTATAAAAAAAAAAACTTAAATTATGCACGCAAAATTGCAACGTTCAGACAACAGGTAGGAATAATAATTTGTCTTTAAACCTTTTACTTACTTTTGAAAAGCAGCATTGTAACTTTTATTCACGAAAGGTTAAAATATACAATTAGACGCTTTAAAGTGTCAACCACGCCATATACATAGTATCACAAATATTACTTAATCAGGAAAATATTAAAAAACATTATAGAACATAATTTTGATACGAATTCTTGTATGAGAAGTTGGAAGTAAATGTGAGGATGTTCATTTTCAACGTCGGAATAAAACAGAATTGCTCGTCTTTGCCCGTTTCTATTGTCCAGCTTCCTCGGCATTGTTTTTCCTTAAAGCTTACTTTCGACCTTTCTCGCTTGTTGCACAGTCTCGTCTTCCGAATCTGATCATTACCTGGCTCAGTTCTCAGTGCCCGAAACGTCAGGTATCTAAACGGACAACAGGTACAAAGCATGAGTGTCTAGTTCGAAAAATATGAGTTAAGGGTCCCCGTCCCAAGCGTTGGAAACTTTTTCTTCGGAATGACTGTAGTTTTTATGAATCTTTTCTGAAAGAAAACCATACCTTCCAGGACTATGGAGAAAATAATATATATAAAATGAAAGATACAATATTAATCGATAACATTATTTTGAGATTAAAAATTTAAAAAAAACTAGACTTCAGATCGTTTACAGTCGCTTTAATCGGCTGAGAAACTGCTAAAACCGACTGAGCAACCTTAATGGAAGTGTGCTGGCCCAACTGTGCTACAGTGTGATATATTTTGTTAGGTTTGTTTAAATTTAGGTGAAGTTACTGTATGGGCGAAAAACCACAGTGCAGTGGTAAAGGAGTCCTTAAGAAAGCTGGGGTCGACATTCGGTCCCCACTTCAATTGTTTTCTATTGTTTCGACGTATGTAGATAATTAAAAATGACCAAGAAATACGTATGAGCCGCCGGCTGGGATGAGGGTCCTTAAGTAGTAAAAAATCAATTTTGTGATTTTTGTGATTTCGAAATCTAGAGACATTTCTGATCAAAATGATATAAAAAATATGTCAGTCCGTCAATATTTGATGAATTGACGCCATCGTTAAAAAACATTGTCAAAACCGACCGCAGCGTCCACAAACATCAACAAAACATACGGCAGCGTTAAAAAATATTGTCAAAACATACCGTAGCGTCAACAAACGTTGGCAAAACATACTGCAGGGTCAACAAACATTGGCAAAACATACCGCAGCGTTAAGAAATATTAACAAAATATACCGCAGCGTTAACAAACATTGGCAAAACATACCGCAGTGTTAACAAATATTAACAAAATATACCGCACCGTTAACAAATATTAACAAAATATACCCCAGCGTCAACAAACATTGGCAAAACATAGCGCAGCGTCAACAAATATTAACAAAACATACCCCAGCGTCAACAAACATTGGCAAAACATACCGCAACGTAAACAAACATTGGCAAAACATACCGCAGCGTCCACAAACATCAACAAAACATACCGCAGCGTTAACAAATATTTACAAAACATACCGTAGCGTCAACAAACATTGGCAAAACATACCGCAGCGTCCACAAACATCAACAAAACATACCGCAGCGTTAACAAATATTAACAAAACATACCGTAGCGTCAACGAACATTGACCAAACATACCGCAACTTCAAATAATATCAGCAAAACATACCGCAGAGTTAACAAAAATAAACAAAACATACCGCAGCGTCAACAAACATCAGCAAAACATACCGCAGCGTTAACAAAAATAAACAAAGCATACCGCAGCATTAACAAATATTAACAAAACATACCGTAGCGTTAAGAAATATTAACAAAACATACCGTAGCGTTAACAAACAATGGCAAAACATACCGCAACTGCAACAAACATCAGCAAAACACACCGCAGCGTCAACAAACATTGACAAAACATACCGCAGCGTCAACAAACATTGACAAAACATACCACAGAGTCAACAAACATCAACAAAACATACCGCAGCGTTAGCAATCATGGACAAAATATACCGAAACATCAATAAACATTAGCAAAACAAACCACAGCATCAACAAAATATACAGGATTTCAACAAACATCAACAAAACATACCGCAAGGTTGAAAAACATTAACAAAACATACCGCAGCCTCAACAAATATTGGTAAAACAAACCCCAGCATCAACAAACATCAACAAAACATACCGCAGCGTTAAGAAAAATTAATAAAATATATCGCAGCGTTAACAAACATTGGCAACATACCCCAGCGTTAGCAAGCATGGACAAAATATACCGCAGCGTCAACAAACATCAACAAAACATACCGCAGCGTTAAAAAACATCAACAAAACATACCCCAGCGTCAACAAACATTGGCAAAACATACCGCAGCGTCAACAAATATTAACAAAACCTACCGCAGCGTCAACAAGCATTGGCAAAATATACCGCAGCGTTAACAAATATTACAAATTATACCGCAGCGTCAACAAATATTAACAAAACATACCCCAGCGTCAACAAACATCAACCAAACATACCGCAGCGTCAGCAACCATTGGCAAAACATACACAAGCGTCATCAAACATCAACAAACTATACTGCAGCGTCAACAAAAATCAACAAAACATACTGCAACTTCAACAAACATCAACAAAACATACCGCAGCGTAAACCAACATTGGAAAACATACCGTAGCGTTAACAAGCATGGACAAAATATACCCCAGCGTTCAGTAATGTAAACAAAGGGAAATACAGACGTAAAATATTAAAAAAAAAAAACATTTCTACGAAAGTGTTTGGTCTTGTAACCTCGCGGACATTTATGAGAATAGTATCAGATAGTACCTTCTCATAAATGTCAAAAATAAATTTTGACTCTGTGGTATATTTTGTGAATGTTTGATGACGCTGTTGTATATTTTGTGAATATTCCTTAGTCTGTTGTTTATATTTGTTAATAATTGTTGCGCTGTGTTTAATTTGTTAAAGTTTGTTGAGGCTGTGGTAAATTTTGTTAATAATTCTTAACGCTGTAGTATATTTTTATTAATAATTGTTGCCCAGTTATTTATTTTGTTAATGTTTGTTGACGCTGTGGTGTTTTATTATACGTTGTGGAATATCTCATGAATGTGTAAAAACTGTGATGAAAACCTATCGAGCTAGTTATTTTCATTTGTAAACCGTCACGTTCCTGTGTATTCTCGATGTCATTTACACGCTTGAGTAGGGCTTGCCTTGAATTAGCCCCAGTCAAAACACATAGGTGATGCGGACAATATCTTGGTGATTGACAGGTAGGGAGGGGCATACGTGTATGTAAGCCGGCTAAAATGCGCGTGCATTCCTCCACTCCATACTTTATCCCTTCTACTCACTACTCGGTAGTGAAGCAGACGTAAAATCAATCCATCAATCAATCAATCGCGTGCATGGCCACTCGGCCGATATGTGTCGGAAGCAAGACGGAGACAGGATCATTCCTGATAGTTGTATGTATACTATAGAGCGAGCTTTTAATGAGGGGGTATGTCTGAATAAGACTGTAACGACCCATTACGATCGCTCAATCGAAAGTATCATACATTACAAGGGCGAGCTATTGTGTTGCTTTGAGTTTGCTTCATTGATAAATCAAAACGGGCACTGTGAAAGCTTATTAAATTGCTATAGGGAGTTATAGGGACCACAAAGTGGTTAGGATAACTCAAGGTTAACAAGAGGAGTTCTATAGGTTGTACAGTACAGGTACTGGTGCCGAGCTATCATTGTAGTGATGAGCGAGCGATGGATCGGCCGCGTGTATATATATGCACGTTAAACTTTCTGAGTGATCAGTAGAAGGAGCGCTCAGTTAGATTAGTATTAGGTGTTTTATTGTTCTATACGTTGTTATTTTGCATTTACTGTTACATCTGCACTGATTTGTTTACATGTATATCCCCTGTATGATCACGAACATTGAATGCTCGAACATAGGCAATGTTTCAGAGCTAGATTACGGTTCATGTAAAGTCTGTTTTCAACTAAGTTACAAAAGGTCATAATTTCATGAATTTTACCTCGATAGCCCGTATATTGGTATCACTACGATCCTTAGGATATACGTAACAGTATGTATTAGCTTTCAGTAAAGTTCAGTTCGTTAATATTGTTTTAATTGCATTCATTACACGTTATGCAGGAAATAACATATCTGCACAAAACAGAGTCAATTTGCAAGGAAATATCAGTCAAAATCTTCCTTAGAACTCATTTTAGGTATTGTGATTGTTGAAAGTTAACGAAACTGCTCCAAAAGACTGATAATCACAACTTCAAAGTCAAGTCATTAGTTAATTTCACCATAAAAAATCAGCCATATTGGAACTACTTTTCTAAACCTATGGGGGCCCATGTAGTGTAATACCAAACATCATTTTTTTTTAAACCGCCTTTTAACCGAAGAATATTGCATTATATGTATGTTATGGTTTGTTAAAAAAAAAGAGCCATTAACAAATATTAGATCACAGTAGTTGATTTATATTGATAATTACATTAATTAGCATATTACATACACATACACCAGACATTTGAATCATCGTATAAAACAGTAAACCTAGTGTCACCTTATTATATGTCAACGGAATAGTAGGGTGGCGATAATGTGGCATATATATAAGTTACTAGGTATATTTGTAATTTTTGAATAAAAATAAATACCAATTCTTCAATGAAATTCATACATAAAATTTCAAGTTGATGTATTGTGCTATCATTTTAGCGGTTGGATCATGTGTCAAATTTAAATTTGACTACCGTTCATCATTATTGAAGCTTTTGGAATAATCGCATTTCTTCCAACGTAATCAAGACATTGGCATATTTACCAATTTACATATCCGTAAAACAATATTCTCTGCAAGTTTCGGCCGACTAAATCAGTCAAGTTTTACTTTCGCGATGGGCTACTCTGGTACGATTTGAGTGCTCCAGTACATCACACGCGAGTGTTCAAACTTTGGAATGTTGCTTGACATGTAAGTTTCAGACGTGAAAAATAGCTTAGATGTCTTTTGCTTAGTGAGGAAGATACCACGCCAACATCATCCCAACGGATATCACCATATCATAATTGTAGCTACCAATATTTACAAACACACAATGATGGGTAACTGTCAGGCAACCAAGTAATCCTGCAAATAGTCAATTCTGTAAACCTCGTCACCCCTTCATAGAGATTTCTATACACTGCATCATCAAATCCATCATTCCTATAAAACTGAATACTGCACAGTTGTAGATTGCCACTTTGTGTGTTTGATTGTCCTCTGGTGGAAAATGAGTCGTCAGACAAATTTCATTCAATGTTCTTTGTGCATTTCTGGAATAGATAATGACAAAGCTAGGTGTTAAAAAAAGTATCTTGATATTTCGTAAAAACTATTCAATATCCAGAAGAAATTTCACAAATGTATCTTGATGGTGTCTCATTAAAAAAAACACAAGACCATCGCAAGTGAAATTCCCAAGTATTTTGAATATTCACTTGTCATGGCCCTACATTCAACACCATTCATTTTCTTTTACCTGGCAACATTTGGACCAGATGACAATGTTTTGGTATCTGGGTAGATACATAAATATAGTGCAATGATGTATTACCTATAAGGAACTTCTGGAAGAGGCTTCAATTGGGTCGAGATGGGCTGTACGAGTTCAGTGCTACCATTGCTACACCTCCATGACCACACTACCACAGGCAAGATGACAGGACGCAATATAAACCATGCATTGAGGTTGACGAGCATCTTATCCCAGTACATAACATGCTGATGTAAACACTTTGAAATGTGTGGGTCTTTAGAGCTTCCTCCTCATATGTTCATGGCAATAATGTTATTTGACATGTGCTTCTATGGCTTCAAATAGTTGTGCTGAACACCTGTGTTATGAAATAAATAACAAGTTATCATTAGTGTTAATTAATTGGTATTCAATGTCTATTAAAATTTCACATTCAGATTCTTTGCAGACTAATCTCTTTTGACATAGCATACTAATGGCGCCTTTTTGAGTGCTGCTTCACTGAAATGCAATGCAGTAGACACTAATTTGACACATGTGCTTATTCCATGCTTCCATAAATTGTTTACTTTTTATTGACACTTCAAACAGTAATATAAATAATCGGTTTTCCAATAAAAACATCCAATTCCACAAGAAAGAACATATGCATTGACCAAAATGTGCCAAAAAATTGTAAATTTGTTTCGAATATTTTTGCCTTCATTTCGCATTTCCTGTTCGTGTCACTTGTCAAAATACAACACATAAATCTCGTCTTACCAGGACATCGACTCAAGCAAAACATTATCTATGTTTACTTTATGTAAATTACAACTGTATTCTATCCCACAAAGCATACTTACCACAAATAAACATTGTCGATCTTCTGCATATCAGCGTTTCTCCTCAGCTTCATGTTGTTGACGACTGATGCACATTGCCGGAAGTGACGCCGCACAAACAGGCCGAGCTTGGATATTATGATGTCTTTTTCTGCAGTGATACTCCTACATTTGTGTAATTCAATTCGGCATCAAAAGTATTTTATTATTTAAGGAATTATATTCTTGTTTTGATAACTATGACAGGACATATTGTCATTTTTGTAAATTAACTGCGGAGCGATATCGCCATGTCGTCCGGTCAATCGGGAACCGTCGGCACTTTCCGTAAACGAGAAAATACCTCGGGAGTAACTGGGTTGCCGCCATATTTGTTATCTCATTACCATATCGGGACCTACATTGCGAGGATGTAAACAAAGGTGGCTACCTTCATGAGCTAACATGTGGATATCCCGATTCGGTGTGAAAGGAATGGATTCTGAGTAAATCATTAGCGTTTATGAGTTTGAGATGTGCATGTGTTTATTCAAATTTCATACTGTATTTATATGATGTACTGTATTGATGTTATTTAGACGGCATTATATGTAATTAGCTCATGGAGTTATGTTGATAATCGCACAGCTGTTTGAAATTCTGAATTAATATATAAAACAATAGTGATATATGATATCTATTACCAGGGACTTAGATCCGTGCTATAACAGAGGTAGTACTGCATCTATTTGTATAGTTCTTACTTTGTGTTTTATATAAATGTAGTGTTAAACACTTATAATACTCATAAGTCAGGCCAAAAAGTATGTTTCCTATCCCATTATATTTTGACTGCTGGTAGGTTATCAAAAGATTATTATTTTACAAACAGTTTAAGTCATTATCATGAACAACTAGATAAATGTATGTTATTTGTAGAAATTTAAGTTTAAACATTTTTAAAGTATCAGTATTTTCTACGAATGCACTGATTCTGAATAAGTGTAATCTACAAAATGGATTTAGATAAATCTAATTTCTTATTTTGGCTACAAAATATTTCAGGTAAGGAGCTCGAGGATTTTACTAGGTAGCTGAAAGGAAACACATATTTTGTTTAGCCTTATCACGGAATTAGACTATCTAGGTCTGTGGCCTCATCATGGATTTACGTTATTGTTCATAGCAAAACCACAAGTGATTTTGATCGAAGTTAATAATATAGTCATGCAGTTATCAGCTCTGAATTCAATTTCCAGTGGGGAAATTTGAAATGACATATTGTCTTTTAGTTTCATGTGGACTACATCTTGAACCAAAACTAAATCACAAAAAAGATAAGTTAGCTATAAAGACAAGCATTCATAAAAACTTAGAAAAGAAGAACTTCAATTTCACTTGCATTGGTAGAGTACTTCTCAATAAGGCAGTTTTTCACTGCAAGTCTCGGACAAAATAGTTTCTTCAGAAATATAATGGAGGAAAAGTTAATAAAATAAAGAGACATAACAGTTATATATATGCATATAACTGTTAAAATACATGTATATATTACAAGTGTAGTGCAGTCCTTTATTAAGTCTTTAAAATGACCTTTTGCAAGTTTAGGGAAATGGCAAAGTATTCTAAAACATATATTGATGTGAATATTCTAGCTACCAGGTAATATGTGAAATCGAATATAACATCTGTTTGATATATGTTCTGGAATATATTTTTTTTAAATCTTGGATGAATTTGCGAAAGTAAAATCATCAATAGTGGGAAATCCAAAACATTGGTAGATAAACAGGATCCTCATGTACATATTAACTTGAACTATCCTAACATACCTTTTAACCTGAGCTGTAAACAGTATACAGTGAATAGGGGACAGAGTATTTCAATGAATTACTTTGTAAAAATAACACAATTTGAACAGGCAGGAACAAGTTTCAGAAAATCAATTAAACATGTACAGTTATCAGATGGATCTAGCTCCCCAATTATGATTTCACCTTTGTCCTCAATGTGGCCTTGACCTTGGATGTAAAGACCGGACGCAGTTGAGGTATGCATCACTGCTTTTCCATCCGATATAAATCCCTAAAGTATCACATAGCTATATCTTTAGCAAGTCAGTAGTTATGACACAGACTATTTCGCATGGATGGACTGATGGACAAGCAACGACTATACATATGGTCCCCGAATTTCTTTTATCATGAAAAGTAGTTGAATAGTTTTCAATTTAGTGATGAGCCATGGACAAATATTTATAGAATGCCATTTCAGATGACTAAAAATACTAAGCTACCATGGTTACAGAATAGACTGTTTTATTAACCTGCTAGTCATGAATCCAATACATTTGTTCAATTTGACCATTCAAATTTTAAATTTAAGTTAATTTTACCAGTACCAGTAGAATGAATCACTGCTTTTAGGGGAAATAGGATATGACTGTGTAAAACACTGTATAGAATTTACTTAAATTCAAAATTATATAGGGCAGGTTAAGTTGAATGTCCATATTGTAACAAATGACAAACTAAAACTGAGAAAATAGAGCATGTAATATGTTATTAATATTGAAAAGTAAAGAATTTATTAAGTTTTATTAGATGCTTTATTAACTCCATTTCCTTTATATAAAAAAATAGGTATATTTCTGATCAATAAATTTAAATAAGAAAAAAACAATTGACAACACCATTATTCCAATCTTGTTTGGAATAGTTAAGATAAAATTGAAATCAAATAGTATCAGAAAGTAATTATAATAAGGTCCTGGCCTACCCCAGGGGTTGGCCAAAGAGGAAAATTGGCTAAAGATATTATATTTCTCAATAGCAAAATAATTTATTTGAATAGTTTTTTAAGTTCTTTTTCTTTGGTGACATGACAAGTATTGTATTTCACTTTGTGTACATGCTGATTTCCTCTTTACATCTAAACAATGAAATTAAGCTACCTATAATAAAATATCAACATCCTGAGCCTTTTGGTTATTGAGAAGAAGTTGTTTAAAGTTTTTAACATATTTGACTCCTGTGACCTTGAATATGGGTGAAGGTCATTCATTTGAACAAACTTGGTAGCCCTTCATCTCAGCATGCTACTGGCCAAATATCATCACCCTGGACATTTTGGTTATTCAGAAGAAATTGTTTAAAGGTTTTTTAAGACAATTGACCCATGTGACCTTGAGTATAATTGAAGGTCATTCATTTGAACAAACTTGGTAGCCCTTCACCCAAGCATGCTACTGGCCAAATATCATCTCCCTGGGCAGTTTGGTTATCGAGAACAAGATGTTTAAAGTTTTTAACATATTTGACCCATGTGACCTTGAAAATGGGTGAATGTCATTTATTTTAACAAACTTTGTAGCCCTTCATCACAGTTTACTTCTTGCCAAATATCGACACCCTAGGCCTTTCGGTTATTAAGTAGAAGTCGTTTAAAGTAAAATATTGACGCAGGACGGACGGACGCCGCGCCACGGCATAAGCTCACTTGGCACTTCGTGCCAGGTGAGCTAATAATTCAAGTGACTGTTGAGGCCCTTGGGCCTCTTTTTTCCCTTCATTACATCCCCCTCCAAACCATCTTTCTAAAAACAATTGCTATGAAACAATGAAAAAAGGATAAATTGTACAAAAAACTTTGGAAAGCTTAAACAAAAGACATTCTGAAGTTGATCAGATAAGCAATTATATGGAAAATAAAAGAAAGTGTCCATAAGCAGTTGGAAACAGATGTTTAAATGTTCATATCATGTATTTAATAACTCTGCCAGTACTTCAGACACGGACACACAGAAACAAGGAATCCAGGAATTACATGTGTCTGTACTTGTAAAATTTAAAGATGCATGTATGCTTGCGCTGTGATAAACACATATTTTAAGCAGTCATTAACATATTCTTTTCTTTTAATTTCCTCATGTTTTATTGCATTGATAGCCATGATTTGGTCGGTACTGACTATTCACATCTAGGGAATGCTACCAGGTAGCAAGTTTAACTACTGGGCGTACGCCAAATAGGGGTATGCAACAGGCTCTGTCCCCAGGCCTGGGACATACCAAAGTCCTTGAACATGGCACTGGTAATTGTTATTTCCTGTTAACGTTCAGTGTTTAGGGTAATGGCAGCAATTGGTTCACCTATTGTCGGTACAATGTGACTTGGCCGCATGCTATGCTGGGTGCCTTAAACACAGTATTTCAGTGAGATAGCACTATAAAGTCGGCATCAGATCTGCCCTAACACAAGGAAGCAAAATACCTTGTCTCAACTATATGAGCACACATATACACATGCACACATTCATAATACACATGGTGGGACATCCTTAAATGACCTTAGCAGTTAATAGGACGTTAACCCCTATAAAACCAGGCGAAACCTAATCATTCCATTGAACTGTTTTGTATACAAAAACATAGTTGCAAGGCAAATTGTCCATATAGTGGAACATTTTCATCGGGTCTTCAAACCAGCAGCAGATATTTCAGACAAGATGACTAGTAATACACTTCCAACCCGAGTCCTATAGTCTTACGCTCTACCAAATGATAAATTTTCCACAGCCGAGTCGGTAGGGACGTTACACAAATGAATAAATGCAATTGATTTTCAAATTTATAAATAACAGATGACCTTATCTTGCTCAAATTAGTTGTACAGTACACCATGCCTATATATAGCTCTGTTATAACTTTTGCAAACTGCCACAATATTAAGTGCGTAGTTTAGGTAATGCCCAGACTTAACAAGGTTCACATCTGTATTGTTGTTTGGGGATAATCTTCAGACAAACTCATTAGAGATAGAAGTGTCAGAAAGAATGGTACCAGATCAGCTGAATGGGGACAACGTTGACAATTAAGTCCGAACCAACGACATCGGATGACAAACAAGAACAGGGTTTATCACTTGGTTGCCACTGACCCAGTAGATCGTACTGACGTCGCAGGAGCATCATATTATGTAAAGTACCGTTGCCTACCGTCCACTTCAGGCTCAGCAGTGATCCAGTCATATGTGTTTCTAGAACAGCCTCACGTATACGTTGCAGCCATAATGTAAATTCCGGAAGGTTTCAAATTTGTTTCTCCTTTTAATCATGTTGAAATTGTGATTCTACGCACCGCAATTTTCA